TCATGATTGCATTCGTCTCTTTATGCCCAGCATTTGTATATATAGTTTTGGGGTGGGGATCTCAACCGTTTTAAAGTTATGGCCCAGGGACTATGTCTCCAAGGGTGGGGCCAGACCCTAGGGACATCCTGGAAGCAAATGTGCATTCTTCTCTTTATACTCAGCAATTGTATATATGGTTATATGGTGGGGATCTCAAACATTTCCAAATAATAAATTTTATCGGCCCCACCCCTTAGCCTGGGGGGTCAGCCCCACCATTTGTACAATTTTGAATCCCTGCCTCCCATGAATACTTCCAACCAAATATGATCAATATCCATTGCATAGTTCTACAGAAGTCGTTTGTAGCAATATAGCCAAATTGCCCCCTTTTGGCCCCGCCCCTTAGCCCCCTGGGGAGTCAGCCCCACCATTTGTACAATTTTTAATCACTACCACCTAGAGATGCTTCCAGTCAAATATGGTTGATATCCTGTCCTTAGTTCCAGAGAAGAAGTCGCTTAAAGAAGTATACCCAAATACCCTTTTTGGCCCTGCCCCTCAGCCCCCTGGGGGGTCAGCCACACCATTTGTACAATTTTTAATCACCACCACCTAGGGATGCTTCCAGTCAAATATGGTTGATATCCACTTCTTAGTTCCAGAGAAGAAATCGCTTAAAGCAATATGAGCAAATTGACCCCTTTTGGCCCCGCCCCTCAGCCCCCTGGGGGGTCAGCCCCATTATTTGTACAATTTTGAATCCCCACCACCTAGGGATGCTTCCAGTCAAATTTTGTTTAATTCCAAACAGTGGTTAAGAAGAAGAAGTCGGTTAAAGAAATTGTTGACGGACGGACGGACGTACGGACGACGGACGCCACGGTATGGCATAAGCTCACCTTGGTCCTTCGGACCAGGTGAGCGAAAAAACGTTTTTCGTAACATGTTGTAGATATTTTATGATAAATAAAATATTTGTATGGTTGATTAGCAATGCTTCTTTTCATTATTTCATTGTTGTAAGTTTGAACAATGCTACACACTCAAAAAATGTGAAAGTATTGAATTGGACAAAAATTCAATTTTTCAGTATTTTTTACAAAAAAAATCCCTAGTTTATCAGAATGCTTAGATTTTCAAAAAATATCTCTCTATATAGGGACATAACCATTATGTGAAATTTCATTGAATTCTGCTAGATGGTGCTAAAGGGTGGAGCCTCCTTAAGTGTGTGATAGTCGGCCTTCTCATGACAAAATTCAGTTTTATTTTATTGTAGTTTATGAAGAAAAGCTTACCAATAACCATTACATACCTGTTAATATATTTTGAAATGCTGTTTCCACATTAGTAGAATCCAGGGCTGATGTTTCTATGAAAGACAGGTTATTCTTCTCTGGAAGTGAAACAACATAACATTCATTATTGACCAGTGAAGTGATTTTTCCCCGTTTTGCAAGCAAACATAAGCTGCTTCCCCTTGCAAAAGGTGCTTTATTTTTCCAAAATGAAGAAAATTTTTTGAACATTATCCAAATTTCAGTCCAAATTATGCTTTATTTACGAAATCATGCAGGAACAAGCTTTTTTAAAATGTAGGTAGATAAAATACTGCAGATGAACAGCAATCTAGTTGACATCACCTCCATCACCGACAAATACCAGCTCATCAGTGTCGGAACAAAGGTTTAACTCTATTCTTTTTAATCAAGTTTATTGAAAACAAGAAAATTATCATTCAAAATGATCCTAGTCCATTCCAAATGGACCAAGTAGGAAATAACCTTATTTAATGTTTCATTTCTGACACTTAAATTTCATTGGCCATTACCTGCGAAGGCCTTGGCCTCGTCTGTAGGCACAGCTCGTAGATGACGTAAGTCACTCTTGTTGCCCACCAGCATGATGACAATGTTATTATCAGCATGGTCCCGCAGTTCCTTCAGCCAGCGCTCCACATTTTCATATGTCAGGTGTTTAGCTATATCATAAACTAGTAACGCGCCAACAGCTCCTCGATAGTACCTGTAAGTAGGAAAGTATTCCTATTTTACATTTTTTTTTTATAATATGGTTCAGTATAGACCTCTATGTATAAAGGGAGATAACACTGGCAATTATTCAAAACATGTTCAAAATTTAAATTCCCTCTATACACATTAATAACTTATTGCTATTAATCTTGGGTTCATTATTTGAGATATCTTTCCTATTGATGTTAAAAGTTGGCGAGGACAAGATATTTTTGTAATTAGCACCATTGTTAATTGCGCTGTAGTGAACACAATGTTCAATACCAGAGCTTTGAACAAGTCTACTGTTACACCTGAACCTCCAACATGGCCACACAATGTTCCAGTTATTGTCTCAAATTGGTTCTGTATAAGGACCCAACGTCAAGCTGTACTTACGCGCTGGTGATGGCCCGATATCGTTCTTGACCGGCTGTGTCCCAGATCTGTGCTTTGATCGTTTTTCCATCTACTTGTATACTCCTGCAGGTTGAGGAAGACATTTCAATGTAATTCTTATTAGATGCATGTTACATTTATCATCATTTTGACAGCCAATTCAAAAGCACATAAAACAAACATCATACATTAAAGAGAATTATAGTCATAAAAACAGTGTCTAATGTCAGCCATTGTTTAGTGAAGGTAAACTAGCTAACATTTACAATCAACTTTAATAGTAAAAGTAGATCGACAGGACCAATACAAGGAAAGAACTGTAAAGCTAACCATGCTTTGTTAACTGAAGTCTTTAGCTACCTGTCAAACAGCTAACAGCTGAGCTAGCTGGATGAGGCCAAAAGGTCACCGCCACACTTTCTTTCACTTAAAAACCCCTTGCTAGTTAAAACTTTCTTAACGTGGCGACAGGGATATTAAGCAAATGGTTAAACGATTCATTTGTGAATTCAAAGTCTAATCTGAACTATTAAACAGGCGATACCACATTCACAGTTAAGTTGTTACTTCTATGTTTTATAAAATGTCTAACATACGTATGATTGTTACTTATGCTTTGACAGTTTTAAACAATGGAAACATACAATTTCTTTTGGTCTTGAACTCATTCACCCCTGAAGACACTTTTGAACTCTTCCAATTCAATGGTTGGAATAGTTCATTATGAAATATCAGGGGTGAATGAGCTAATATCACCCTTTCACCACTGTAGACCAAAATGGACTCATCCAGATCAATGGAGTCTACAAAAGGGGTGAAAGGGTTAAATAACTCGTTAATCAATTAACGATATGTTCACCATTGATGGTCTTAAACAGGAAGCATTACTGACTGATTATTGGTTATAAAGTGATCACCATGGCAACAATAGTAAATATATACCTCGTAGCAAACTCCACTCCAATTGTACTTTTACTTTCTAAGTTGAACTCGTTCCTGGTGAATCTTGACAACAGGTTACTTTTCCCTACACCGGAGTCTCCTATAAGTACCACTGAAAAACACAAACATTCACCGTTAAAACATTTACGTACATATTGATACCATGGAGTTTTTTAACACATAAATAATACATAAGCAAGTACCACTCGCCTATCAGTAGGTGCTTACAACACATCATAAAGACAAATGTTTAGTGAGTACTAAGTAACTCGACCATATTTATCATCAAAGGAATTGAAATTAAAACTAAGAAACAGGATTATATCTTGTTTTCTACTCATTATCTACAAAAAAACATGATGCCTCTCAGTCTCATGTCTTTCTTCAGCATAAAATTTAAATTGAGTCAAATAAGAAATAAAATATTTACTGAAAATATCCATGTGATTATCAATTTCATCAGTTACATTTACCAATCAGGTAACTAATTAGGCCTCAAACAATTTAACTCTGGTATTCATTCTCGAAGAGACCGGACATCTTTTGTTTCCAATTCCCAAAAAAGTCTTTGAAAGTAAAAATCCTCATTCTGTGCCATCCTTTATACACACACCTTTACACAGATAGTCATAATCATCGTCCCTGTAGGCGTGACCCTTACTGAAGCGTGATCCAGCCTTATGGCCACAGGCCGTGCAGCGAGAGTTCATACAAGACATCATAACTAAAGTGTCGACAAGTTTTTTTTTCAAGAAGATGTTAAAACTTTTTAAACTAAAATTCTATTTAAATTTACAGTCCAATAATATTCCACAACAAAGTTTCAAAATTTTGAATCGTTTAATGAAAAATGTCAACAGAGCAGTTCACAACTAAACAAGTAGCAGGTATATATATTAATATTATAGCTTAATCACTAGGTACTGTAGGCTAGGATGTATCGGTCAACATTCTCTACACAATCCCAGTGAAGTCCCCAAGTCCTTGTTATATATACGTATACATGTACTGCTGAATGTTAGTAATATCTAAATTAGGCACACACAGTAATAACTGAATAAGACTATGTCAAAGAATGTGTGGCCATGTTCCTGGCCATGTCATCATTTGTTTACAAACAGCATGACTCACTCAAAATATGTCATAGGTTAAAAATACATATTACATATATATCTAGATGTATTTGGATTGATCTATTTTTAGACAATGAGTAAAAAGATACCTGAAAGCCTCTATATCAGTTATATTTATTACTATGATACCCATGTTAAACCTTCTACACATATTGAAACATCTCGACAGGAAACATCTTATCATCATCTGTACGTGCAGCTTTGAATTTTCTTGCGACAAAATTGAAGTCTTGTTTCCCAGAATGAAAAATTGACAAATCACAAGGTTGTGGACATTGTATATATGTGTTTTGAAGATTACTTGCAATTGGGAGATCAAAACTGGTCAAATTTTCACTGTTGAGCTGCGTGATTCAGAAAGTATAACTCAAAGATCACAGGTACAGTGTATGCAGGATTGGTACTTTACATAGTCAACTTGTAAACTCTGCAAGGGATCCGGAGCATACACCTGTATAAAGCGACTGTAATTTTGTCATAATTAGGAACACAAAAAGGTACATAGAGGGAGGAGGTTTCAAAGATGATATATCTGAAACACATACACCTACACGCAGAGGCTCGTGACCGAAGGGTTGCAGGTTTGAGTCAAGTCACGGAACTGTGTTGTATCCTTGAGTAAGATACTCTTCCTTAGCTGTAAATGGCAGCACCGACTGTATGCTCCCCAGAGAAAATTATTGGCTGGTTGCAAAGGCCCTATAACCATGGATAATAATCTGTAAGCCACTTTGAGACGACCGACGAACTAGGTTGTGATAAAGCGGTATATAAGAACCTCAAATTATTATTATTATTATTTAATAGTACTATTCAATGATTATAAAGTAATCATCAACTCCATGTTAATGCTTACTAAATTTTAAATTTGGACAAAAGTAGAGAATACTGTTTAATGGGTTTTTTTCAAACTTGTAGGGTAGGGACTGAAATCTGCACAGGATCATTGTTTTTAAATTCCAATCGCCTTGCATCCAGGGCTGGTAAACTTTAGGACTAGGTATTGTGAAAATGTAACTGAAGCTAATAGATTTTTTTTTTACAAACATTATCGATCCCTATTACAATAAGTCAGTTTTATGCATTTTAAAACTTAAAAGCATGACTTAAAAGCAAGAATTGTTTTTTAATTAACATTTAAGTTACAGGTCTAGTTAAAAGTTCAGTTTTAAGCACAAGTAACATACCAGTGAAATCTGTGCGTCTGATAATGTGTGTCTTACTTGTAAGGTGTATACTTATATACTGTACATACATTACGACAACGGATACAGGAAACCACTGAAGGTCAGCAACATCAACAGGATGGATACACGGCCATCAGAAGGCAAAGTTCTCCACAGGATACATGCTTTGTGAAGCACCTTATTATATGTACATGTATGTATGTAACATGACTGTTTTTCCTGTTAATTTGGGATGAAGCATTTTTGTTTCATTTTGGCAAGAAAATATACCAATCGGGAAAGAAATTTTCAGGAGTAAACTGAATATTGTGCAATATTTTCTCAATCACATACAGCTGTTATAACTAGGACACTAAATTTCTGGACATCTGTTTTGTAGACAACTAGTCTACCACCTCCAAAATTATGTCGACCAGTAACCTCCAATAAAACCTGGTGGACCTTTTTGCAATCTGCAGCAAGGCTATAGCTATATATCGGTAGCAGGCTATTAGCCAGCCGCACGTCCACCTGTCTTTTTGACAGGCAGTTTTCTGAAAGGGACCTATTTCGACAGGCAACTTTGTACAATTAGTTATAATATCAACGTTTTGGAAAGGGACATTTGAAATCCTGGCTAAAAGCCTGATCAGTAGGGTAAGTGCAAGAGGAGGTTTGGATGCCCCTTCTTGTTGTAATGCAGTCCTATAAGTCTCTACTGGTTTTTTTAACTCATTCACCCCTGAAGCCACATTTTAACTCTTCCCATTCAAAAAGGTTGCTAGGAAAATCCTTAAATTGAAAGCAGTGGGCCATTTCAGCAATTTTTAGTCAATATCAAAATTAAGAGGGGGCATCCTATGTAAAATTAGAAGAAAATTGTAACATAAAGGGGTCAATTTCAGTTTTGAAGGGTCAATGAGCCCCATGGCCCCCTCCAGGATTATCCCCGACTGGTTGGAATAGGTTATTACAAAATGTCTGGGGTGAATGAGTTAATTAAGTTTCCGTATACTAACAAAGAGTTTGTTGACTTTAGGTTGAACTTAACAAGCGACTCAAAGTCACGTTCTAGAAACCAGGATATTAATAAACACGATAACACAGATCAATTGCATGAATGATCCCAGGACATCTCAGCCAATACATCGACTGGCATCTTCAAATTTGCCCTTCTACTGATTGTGCATGTACAGTAAGAAAATATACAAGCTTATATAAATTTGTAGTAAATAACAATATTCAACTTTTAATTTCAATAAATTTTATGACACTTGGCGGTTTATCAGGCTAGGATCTCTCTCTCTTTTCCGAGATGTATTTCCGATTTAGTTTATTCCGGTTAAAAGCAATATCTGTTAACCGGGTGTATCTTAGAATGTGGCGAGTTCCCAACCTGTTCATTGTATATCACTTTACAGTTACCACTGTCAATAGTGGTGTGATCTGCATGGGGAAAGAATCTAGAGCACCTGGGTATGGGTCAGGTTCAAAATATTTGGTAACAAGGGCAACAATTATGTACCTATGTATATGACAGTCCTATAGCTAGCAGAAAGAAACCCATCTCTAAAATAAATAACAAAATAACAAATATTTAAAGCACTGAAGTCCTATATTTTGAATAACACACGTTTTGACGAATCTTGATATAGGGTATAATATATATTATCATTACAATACGATGTGTGTGAGGACTAAGTGTAATGAACGTCCACGAAAGATCAGTACTGCAAGGGGTGTGTCAAAACCTGTTTATGACGAGTCAGTGGACGGTGCATCATAAAATTACAATATCTCACATCCATCACATCACACAACGATATATGTAAAGTGAAATTATTGTCTTTTTTTATTACGACTAATTTAGCTACTTTACTGTTGTTATGTGAAATTTCACATAGAAATTGTGGCGCATTGATTTTAATGTTGAATATTGGTTGGTAATCATTAAAAATAGGCTAAAACTTGTTTTGATATTTTCATTTTATAAACCGAATGTAAACCATATTCTCTATCTGACAACTGACGAACGAAGTGTGGCTATAAATAGGTATGCTACTTCGAACAATGTCTGAAATATTCAGCTGTCAAAAATGTCAATGACACCGCTTCCTCGTTTGACATTTCATGGAAGGGGGCGATTATTTGTAAATTATGGAAACATATATCACGATTTCTCGTTAAACAATACTAATATCAAGGACATGTTCATGGTTTAAGGAGTTATCGACTCATAATTTCTCAATAAACTGCCTACCTTTGAAAAGATAATCATATTCGTCATCCTTGGTACCCATTTTTGTTCTGCCGGAAGTTGACGGAAGCTATATATATTGGAAATGTTTAAGCGTCTTGGCTGACTATAGATACAAAATCAGCCCGTCGGCTGTTCTATTATGAAGTTAAGAGTTCCCTCCTGGTGTCAAAATTAGCGAAGTATGGAGGATGGCGCTGATATTAGTTGGAATTTCAGCCTTCCCTTCGTCTCCTCTCCTGTCAGTGTATTCAATATGGCGGATTTGACGCCCCTTATGTTCTGCGCAGGTAATGACGTCAACTTGGCGCAGCCGGAAGTTGACATGTACCCGGCCAGCTCATCAAGAAAAGTATCGCTAAATAAATTTCTGAGCTCATCCTGTAAATTGTTAATCTATACGAATATAAAATCTTCAAATGACAGATATGTATTATATATGAAGTATGTACAGGCTTCCACAAACATAAATAAACGGCAGTGTATATTCTCAACAGGGCCGTTTTGCTTAAGTATGGTTAACTTGTAGATTTCCAAATCAAGTAATTATATATATATATATATATATATATATGGGCAAAGAAGTAATTCCAACAGTGTGGACAAGTTTAGGTTGTCAAATTCGTATCCTACGGACATACCTCCATTAGGATCCAGTGTTATATGGGATTTTACCGTCTATATTACTTCTTTGACCCATATATATACAAATGTATGGGTATGGCAATTAATCTCAATTAGTCTTAATTAGCAATTAATCTCAGCTTAATTGCTGCCTTCGGCTGTCTTTAGCCGAGGGGACTTTTCAATTATAGTATATCAATTCTATCTTCTTGTAATTATATGTACATGTAACTGTTCTGTTTCACTCTGTCTTGAAAAAGGAGCGGATCGCTCCGAAAATTTGACAACCTAAACTTGTCCACACTGTTGGAATTACTTCTTTGCCCCATATACAAATGTATGGGATATAGACCGATAGTGATTTGGATCAGTTCGGAAAAACTCTTTCAAACGACCACAGAAATGAATTTCTGATATTCAAAATCCTAAATCATTTTTAATTAAAACATTAACGAAGTGCATTGAGCTAGCTGTGAACGGAGTACGTATATATATAAACATGTACGTTGTATGTCTTGTATGAAATGTATGTGAACCGGAGGATTTTGATTGAAGATAACTGTCACAAATAATAAATATCACATATATAGCAAAATATTTTTTGAAATAGCATTTCTTAAAACAAAATTGCTTAACTAAACTTAATTCACATTGTTGAATATTGAAAACAAACCTCACAATTAACTTTTTGTTCAATTAAAACGTTTTATATATGTTTATGACATGCCAAGGTCAATTCTTTTATTAAAATCCACAGACTTATTTCCAATGAATTCCTGTAATGTTGCTTAATTGTAACAAAACTATTTGTTTGTAATAATCGTAAAATTCCGCGTTTACCAACCAAAATCCAGCATAAAATACTTCTAAATAAAGTTCAATTTGAGTATTACACATCACGTTATTCGCACAATTTATTCAGATTTAATTGTTTTATATATCAGAAACAAGTTGTAATGAACTATGACAAATACAGATTATTAAACTGATCTGGTGCCTTTGTTTGTACAAATTAACTTATCCACACCATAACATATATCGGTTCACCAAGTAATATAAATCAGTGCACAGATAATTCCCGTCTAGGGTTGTGATCCATTCTACCGACGAGCCAGGCCTACCGCCTCAGTCACAGAGAATTCTTGTCTGGGGTTGTGATCCATTCGACCGACGAGCCAGGCAGGCGCGTAGCTACCATTTAAGCCAATAAGCCCGGGCTTGCACATGGTTTTGATAAGTATAGGTTTTCATGACGTTATTTTTTCTTGCTGATACTATAAAGTGGAGTTTAAAGTTTTTAATATATAGTACACATGTGTAATTCCTCAGATATGATACATTGTTAATAGTTAGTACAAAAATGTATGAAGTTTAGAAATGTCCATTGCATTAATGGACAGTTCCAGGCGGAACTAAACTGCTCGATTGAGTAAATTGAGAAACTCACGCCTGGCGCAAACGAGTCCGAGTATGGCACAGTGGACAGACAATCAATGGGTTTTTTTTTTATGAAAATATCAATTTGGGGCACGTTCGGCCCCTTTTGCCGGGGCACATTCGGCCACCCCGAATGCAACTGTTATTGTGCCAAGTGACGTCACTATTGATCACGTCACCCAATTGACCACAAACATATTTTTACGTCGCAGAAATTAGGTATTTTTTTCTTTGTATTCACTGATTTGTTCTGGACTTATTTTCCAACAGAATTGAATGAAATTCCATACACTTATAAGTAAATTGTCTTCTCTATCCTTCATGCCATACTTGCCCTGGTAGGGGCCGGATTTGCCTCAGGGCGGGGCTCGTCCGGCCCCCAACTCTCTCGACCTAAAAAGTCCAATAATTCCCAAAATATGGTCTTGTTTACGATTTGGTTTTTAGTTTATGAAAGACAATACATTTCTTTTCTAAATGACATATATAAATATGCTTTTCAACAGTATAGTACATGCCTTCCATAACGTTTTGAAAAAAGAAAAGGGGCTGTGTTTGCCCCGGTCCCCCCTACACATGTATTATACATGTGTAGGGGAGACCGGGGCAAGTCCGGCCCCTTTTTTAAAACTATATTATAGTTTACAACATATCATTATCTCAGACATCAGGACGTGGGAAATGGCTCCTGAGACGTTCTAGAAAACAAAATTTTCATGGGGGAGACCCCCCAGACCCCCCTNTTATGGGGGGGGGGGGGGGGGGGGGGGGGGGGAGGGGGGCTGCCTTCGGCAACCCCATGTCAGGGCTTACACATGGTAAAGGGGCTAGCTACGCGCCTGCCAGGCCTACCGCCTCAGTCACAGAGAATTCCCGTCTAGGGTTGTGATCCATTCTCCCGACGAGCCAGGCCTACCGTCGTAGTCACAGATAATTCTCGTCTAGGGTTGTGATCCATTCGACCGAAGAGCCAGGCCTACCGTCTTAGTTACAGAGTATTCCCCTACCGACGAGCCAGGCCTACCGACTCAGTCACAGAGAATTCCCGGCTAGGGTTGTGATCCATTCTACCTGTGAGCCGGTCCTACCGTCTCAGTCACAGAGAATTCCCTTCTAGGGTTGTGATCCATTCTCCCGACGAGCCAGGCCTACCGACTGAGTCACAGAGTATTACCGTCTAGGGTTGTGATCCATTCTACCGACGAGCCAGGCCTACCGTCGTAGTCACAGATAATTCCCGTCTAGGGTTGTGATCCATTCTACCTGTGAGCCAGTCCTACCGTCTCAGTCACAGAGAATTCCCGTCTAGGGTTGTGGATCACTCTACTGACGAGCCAGGCCTACCGTCTCAGTCACAGAGAATTCCCGTCTAGGGATGTGGATTACTCTAACGACGACCCAGGCCTACCGTCTCAGTCACATAGAATTGCCGTCTAGGGTTGTGGATCGCTCTACCGACGAGCCAGGCCTACCGTCTCAGTCACATATAATTCCCGTCTAGGGTTGAGCCAAGCCTACCGTTTCATTCACAGAGAATTCCCGTCTAGGATTGTGGATCACTCTACCGACGAGCCAAGCCTACCGTTTCATTCACAGAGAATTCCCGTCTAGGATTGTGGATCACTCCACCGACGAGCTAGGCCTACCGTCTCAGTCACAGATATTCCCGTTTAGGGTTTTGATAACTCTTCCAACGAGCTAGGCCTACCGTCTCAGTCACAAATAGTTCCCGTCTAGGGTTGTGGATTACTCTACCGACGAGCCAGACCTACCGTCTCAGTCACAGATAATTCCCATCTAGGGTTGAGCCAAGCCTGCCGTCTCATTTACAGAGAATTCCCGTTTAGGATTGTGGATCACTCTACCGACGAGCCAGGCCTACCGTTTCATTCACAGAGAATTCCCGTCTAGGGTTGTGGATCACTCTACCGACGAGCTAGGCCTACCGTCTCAGTCACAGAGAATTCCCGTGTAGGGTTGTGGATTACTCTACCGACGAGCCAGACCTACCGTCTCAGTGACATAGAATTGCCGTCTAGGGTTGTGGATCGCTCTACCGACGAGCCAGGCCTACCGTCTCAGTCACATATAATTCCCGTCTAGGGTTGAGCCAAGCCTACCGTTTCATTCACAGAGAATTCCCGTCTAGGATTGTGGATCACTCTACCTGTGAGCCAGGCCTACCGTCTCAGTCACAGATAGTTCCCGTCTAGGGTTGTGGATTACTCTACCGACGAGCCAGGCCTACCGTCTCAGTCACAGATAATTCCCATCTAGGGTTGAGCCAAGCCTACCGTCTCATTTACAGAGAATTCCCGTTTAGGATTGTGGTTCACTCTACCGACGAGCCAGGCCTACCGTCTTAGTCACAGAGAATTCCCGTCTAGGGTTGTGGATGACTCTACCGACGAGCTAGGCCTACCGTCTCAGTCACAGAGAATTCCTCTCTAGGGTTGTGATCCATTCTATCAAAGAGCCAGGCCTACCGTCTCAGTCACAGATAATTACCGTCTAGGGTTGTGATCCATTCTACCGAAGAGTCAGTCCTACCGTCTCAGGCACAGAGAATTCCCGTCTAGGGTTGTGATCCATTCTACCGACGAGCCAGGCCTACCGTCTCAGTGACAGAGTATTCCCGTTTAGGATTGTGGATCACTCTACCGACGGGCCAGGCCTACCGACTCAGTCACAGAGAATTCCTCTCTAGGGTTGTGATCCATTCTATCAAAGAGCCAGGCCTACCGTCTCAGTCACAGATAATTCCCGTCTAGGTTTGAGGATCACTCTACCGACGAGCCAGGCCTACCGACTGAGTCACAGAGTATTACCGTCTAGGGTTGTGATCCATTCTACCGAAGAGCCAGGCCTACCGTCTTAGTTACAGAGTATTCCCGTCTAGGGTTGTGGATCACTCTACCAACGAGCCAGGCCTACCGACTCAGTCACAGATAATTCCCGTCTAGGTTTGAGGATCACTCTACCGACGAGCCAGGCCTACCGACTGAGTCACAGAGTATTACCGTCTAGGGTTGTGATCCATTCTACCGAAGAGCCAGGCCTACCGTCTCAGTCACAGAGAATTCCTGTCTAGGGTTGAGGATCACTCTACCGACGAGCCAGGCCTACCGACTCAGTCACAGAGGATTACCGTCTAGGGTTGTGATCCATTCTAACGAAGAGCCAGGCCTACCGTCTCAGTCACAGAGAATTCCCGTCTAGGGTTGTAAATA